ACCTCATTTGCATTTGATTTATCATTTGCGATGTCAGTTTGAGGATTTGATTCACCATTTGCGGAGTCGATTTAAAGATTTGATTCACCAATTGTGATGTCAGTTTGAGGATTTGATTCATCATTTGCGGAATCGTTTGAGGATGTGATTCACCATTTGCAGAGTCGTTTAAGCATTTGATTCACCATTTGCAAAGTCAGCTTGTGGATTTGATTCATCATTTGCAATGTCAGTTTGAGGATTTGATTAATAGTTTGAGCATTTGATTCACTTTTTGCGGAGTCGGTTTGAGGATTTGATTCATCGTTTGCGATGTCGGTTTGAGCATTTGATTTATCATTTGATCTTTTAAGCATTTGAATTTTCATTTTAATTTTGTTAGGAAAAAAACTTCCATACTATAGACCGAAGTGCACATTGCACTTTTTTGATCTGGTTCTCAAAGGCCCTGGAGATGTTGCTTGGTCCTCACTGTTCATAACACAGTGATCCTGTCATATTCATATATAATTACAAATTTTTATATTAATATAGGGGTGAATGAAAAGAATTAAGCTTTAAATAAGAAAATTATCAAAATTAGATTTATATTTTTTCCGTAATGCTAATGGTTTAATCTAATTCACTTGAACCAAAAGTTTCTGAGACTACTATTCCAGTATGTTGATGTACTTCCAACTAAAACAAAATATTGAGAAGGGGAGGAGCTTTCTTTTTGTGCTTCACTCCCTAGTAGCAAACTAATGGTAAGAGGGGCGTGGTTAAGAATATTGTGGCTGAAGCCGTCAAAAAATAATAACCACCAATGCAAATGGTCAGACTCTGATTGGGTTTGATTTGATTACCGAAACCTTTTTTTTAGTGGATTAATTTGCATAAATAAATTGTTCAACAAAAAATGTCCACTAGCAAATAAACATTGTAACTTTTGTTTTCATACAGATTTTAGTTTGAGATTTAGAAAATGTAATGAGAGTCGAAAAAATAGCACAAGCAGGCAAAACAAAACAAATCCAGTGGTAACTATGGATATAATGATGTTCTAATGATAGAATAAGTTCTTATGAATCTAAACACTAAATAAATGTTCATTTTTAGATGCACTGTCCTTTTAGTGTCTGTTAGAAACTATTTGATGATCAGCAGACAATATAAAAATGCATATGCAGAGTGACAATATGCTCATGGTAACATGATTTTCTCCCGCAGTACCTGCAAAAAACCTGCCAGCTGGATCTACTTTTCCATCGTTGAAGCGGGTGTTTGGTTTCTCATTAACTTCGGCAACAGCTGTAATCGACCGCTTTACCCAGTCAACAAATGCGAATCGAGTTCCCTCCGCGATGACGTAACCCCCAGCCTGCCGTGGAACCACACAGCCGACCAGTTTCTCTGTTTAAAAAGAAGATACTTGAATTCATCAGCAGCACTGTTTATTATTGACTGTTTTTTTTAAACTGTTTTTATTAAGATACTTTTATTGAAAGGGAAAAGAAAGTCTGGGCTCTTGTTGGAGACAGTGTGGAACCCCAATGGCTAATCATTGCCACATTGCAAAATATAAAAAAAAATGAAAGACTTTTTCGTACAAAATAGCGATTGAAAAAAAAAAAAAAAAAAGATAACTGAAGAATTACACTCACCGGCCACTTTATTAGGTACACCTAACTAGTACCGGGTTTGACCCCGTTTTGCCTTCAGAACTGCCTTAATCCTTCGTGGCATAGATTCAACAAGTGGGAGAAATGGCATAACACGAAATGGTTTCAGGTTGATCATCCAACAAGAGCCCAATGGATAGGAATTGCAAAGGAAATACACAGTATGCAAAGACTCAAAATTAAGACAATGCATTGTCGCAAGCATTGGAAAAACTGGAGTATGTCATTGCAAAGAATATGCAAAAATGTGCATCAAATGTATTGTGATTTGATATTGTAACTCCTGTGCTAACCACTTCATTCACTTTTTTCTAAAATACAAAAGGATGCTCCCACTAAACATGTTTCCTGGCTTACCTGTGTTCATACTCTCTATTTGTTTGGTCAGGGAGCTCCATCGGCTGACCTTTTGACCTGTGATATCAACGTACAGCAAAGAGGAGTCCTTCTCCTCCCAGACTGGACTCTCACCGACTTCATTCTTTTCTTTGATAACACACTCGACTTTTATTGATGACATGACCTAAAGCACACAAGTATAGTTCATGTAAGGGTATGATGATGTGCTGAAATAAACTTAGACAAAAAAAAAGAAAGAAGTACAAATCATCATGGTACAGAAAAAGAAGTGAAGTATTGAAAGTATTGAACCTGTCACCATTTTCCCAGAAAACATATTTCTAAAGGTGTTATTGACTTGAAATTTTCCCCAGATGTTAGTAACAACCAAAGAAATCCATATATGCAGATAAAACAAATTTATTTAGTTTACAAATTAAGTTATGCGTAATAAATTGAAATGATGCAGGGAAAAAGTATTGAATACATGAAGGAAGCTTTGGAAAAGCAGTGAAAGCCCAGACAGCAGCTGAAATCTCTTAGTTCTTCAGCAACCGTCTGCCCTCCGTCAGGGTAAATTTATATTAGCTGCTTGAGTCCAACATCTACATTAGAAGGATGATGAAGATGAAACCAGGGTGGACATTTTATCAAGACAATGATCCAAAACACAGCCAAGGAAACTCTCTAATGCGTTCAGAGAAAGGAAATCAAGCTGTAGAATGGCCCAGCCGATCACCTGACTTAAATCCATTAGTAAATGACAAAATAAAGATCAGATTTGATAGAAGACACCCACAGAACCATCAAGATTTTCACACTCTGTTGAAGTCTGTTAAAAAACTCACACCTGAGCAATTCATGTGACTTCTTTCTCCATATGAGAGGCGTCTTTAAGCTGCCATCACCAAAAAGCCTTTTATATTAAGTTTTAAATACATTTCAGTAGTTCAATACTTTCTCCTTGTGTCATTTGATTGCTATTACACGTAGCACAATTTTCTGAATTTGTTTGTTTTGTTTTACTTTTATGTTTGTATTGTTTGAGTTTTTAACCAAAATCTGGTTCAATTGCAGATTAACAGCTCCGTTAGAGATATTATCCCCCCCCAAAAAAACTGAAGTGTTCAATACTTAATTTCCACGCAGTATATAGTTTTTGATATAGTATATCTGGGTTGGATTTAAGCACAAAATTAATTCTAGGTACATACCTATCCTCACACTTTCAGATTTCAAGGAGAAATAAAATTATTTTTATTATTATTTCACTATAATGGTAAAACACTGTGATACAATTATTATATTAAATAACAAAAATCTATTTATCTATCTAAGTTTTAGGAACAACAAATAATAACTTGACTTCAAGTAGAGGATTTAGTATCAGAAAATGCTTATATGAAAGGCAAAGGCCTCTAGATTATGCTTATTTTACCAAAATAAAATATGATCATGCCTTGATTTTTAAGTCTGACTTTACTTACACAAAAGTCTTGTCACCTAACAGAAATAATGTACAGTATATAGAATATATAGTCAAGCTGCAGTGGAAAGAAAATTAACGTTGTGTCTGACTCCCATGAGCTTGGAGGACTGCATCCATGCATCTCTGCAATGACTCAAATAACTAATCAATAAAGTCATCTGGAATGGCAAAGAAAGTGTTCTTGCAGGACTCCCAGAGTTCATCAAGATTCTTTGGATTCATCTTCAATGCCTCCTCCAGCTTAGCCCAGGCATGCTCAATAATGTTCATTCCTGTTGACTGGGCTGGCCAAATCCCGGGTTACATTGATCTTCTTTGCTTTTAGGAACTTTTTAAAATTTTCTTAATCATGCACCAAATTGAATAATGAAATACTTTACTGCATTCTTGCCTGATCTTAATTGCAGAAACTTTGAAATGATCACACGTGACGTCACATTACATTTTAAAATGTAGCATCATCATCAATATAATATGTATCTCTTTTGAATGGATGTCATCAATTTAAAGAACTGACAGCTTGTTGTCAAACCGGTTTCCCTAAAAACTGTGCCATGCAGCTTGCTATTGGTCAACGACACACACAGTCACGCCTCAAACTCTCGCCATCGGTTAAACAAAACTTGCTTACGTATGACTGATAGTACAATACAATTACTTTCCTTTGCAAAATTATATTTTATTAGTAACAGTTTAATTTTAGAAGATTTGGTATGGATAAAAACACCAATACAGTACTCCACCATTCAGTCATGAGCTAATTGTAAATAGTAAATAAATAAGTTAAAGTCACTTTAAAGGTTATTCTATAGTCTTTGTTAATTAACGACAATAATTGTTAATACTTTATGACTCAATTCAAACGTCAAATGAAACTACAAACACAATTGCAAGCAGCATGTCTGTTACATATTATTGTTCAATCATTTTATATAATTGCGTAACATGCTCGTGTCAAAATCGACAACACAAATGTGTCATAGTCTGTCATTAAAATTATACTGAAACGCAGAAGCCTGGAATAACGCATAGGATTAATTTCTGATAAACGAAGTTACATCAACTAACGTTAAAGGAAACAACCAAAACAAGAAAAATCAGCATATTTTGTGCTCAGTCCTCTGGAAGCACTGAACTACAACAATCACGTGATAAAGAGTCAGTCAGTCATGGATATTTCTGTGCTGGGCGTCGTGCTGCCTACAAATCAAGAGTTTGTGTGGTTTTACCTTTTTAAATGTTTATCCTATTTTCCTCTCTGGTCGATATCCGTGCAAAAAGTTAAAAACTTTGCAAAGTTCCTCTCTGCAACCGTGGTGTGTGTGTGGAGGATAATGCAAGCAAGAATGCAAAAGAGCGCCCTTGGTGGTCACCAATATAAATACACCCAAAGAAATGAGGATAAAAGTACAACTGAGAGGAGTTTGACCCCAGTCTCACAATACCCGAGCATGACAGGAAAGCGTGATTGTTTGAAAAAAAATTGTCACATAAACACATGCAGACCTTTTCTGTATCCAACCGTGGTTTAATTAAAATAACAAGTGTTACTTTGTCAGAACACAGCATATGATCGATTACAGTATGATTCTACAACAAACACACATCAGCTCATAATACAATTATAGGTACAAAGAGTTTTTAAGGGATAATTTACCCAAAAATGAACATTTAATTTAACCTTCAGTGGTTATAAACCTTTATGAGCCTATTTCTTCTGTTGAACACAAAGGAAGATATTTTGAAAAAAAAGCTGAAATGTTGTAACAACTGACTTCCATAGTATTTGTTTTTCCTACCATGGAGGTCAGTGATTACAAGTGTTCAGCTTTCTTCGAAATATATTGCCTTGTGTTCGACAGAAGAATTAATCATTTTTGGGTGAACTATATCCTAACAATTTACAGTGATGCACAGGATGGGAACTGCTTTTAGCTCTCTGACAGAGGCAGAAAAAACACAAATTGCTGACGTGCAAGTTTTCTTGCTGTCTGTCTTTTCTCTGTGAATCCACCCAATACATTTTCCTTCACTTTGCAGAATTTATTTTGTGAAAATCGTCCAGTCGACCAGGAGTCATTTACACAGCTCAAAGTAAATTCTGTTGCTTTTTTGCTGGAGGAATGTGCACAGCTCAGTTGAGCAGGGCAGAAGCATACAGGCTCACTTTTTGGTAGCCGTGGCTCTGGCTCGGTTCAGGCGTTCCACAAGAGCATGATCAGTGGTCGATGAACAGCGTGAGAGAACTGTGCTGATCTCAGTGTCATTACGCCTCTCGATAGCAGCCTCTGCAGCACCTTCCATGTCCCTGTGTGAGAGAGAAATATTTCTGTGGTATCTTAAACCGGGTATATGCAGGAATGCTAAAGGTAATTTCAAAACCTTTTAAAGACTTTTTAAAGACCTTCTCAGAATATTTTAAGACCTCATCACCACTTCAAGATCTAATCAGTATTAAACTTTTAACTTAATAAACAGTTGTAGTTAAATAAATCACTGGAGCACGACCATTCGACAGAACTCAGATAAGCTTGGAGGAAACGAAACTTGAAAAAAATTCAATTACACTGTTTTGAAGTTTCAGCCACTGTTTAAACTCGTCTTTGTCCAACCGGGAGTACACAAACTTACATTGTCCCGTCTGTTTTGCTCTATGGTTTCGCTACATCTGGAAAGCATCACATCACCTTCCTGCTTTTGTCACAAATTACGTGACATCTCTGTTGTTAATATTAGAAGGAATTTATAAATGTTTATGCTAGATTTATGCTTCTTTTTGGAGTCAAACACTTTGGACAACGCTCAAACAAATTTAAGACCTCGTAAAAAATGGATTAAGATTTTTAAATACCTTTTAAGGGCCTTAATTTTCTCATAATTGATTTATCAACTATTAATACTTTAAGACCCCACAGACACACTGTTAACATGATATTGCACCCAGAACTGAAATTTCTGTCATCATTTACTCATCCTTCACTTGTTCCAAACCTGTTAAGAGTTGGAGATATCTGGAAACCTGTTACCATTTACATCCATAGAATTAGTTTTTTTTTACCATGGAGGTCAATGGTTACAGGTTTTTGGTTGTCTCCAAAATATCCTATTTAGTGTTCAATAGAATAAAGAAGCTCATAAGGGTTGGAAGCACTTCAGAGTAAATAAATAACAAGTGAATTGTCATTTTTGGGTGAACTATCCCTTCATTTCATACATTATACATTCATATATACACTAAAGTTCATAAGTTTAATGCTTTGTTATATATACTTTATTAAACGACCCCATTTATGCTATTTTAAATTTGTTTTTGGAGGTTTTGTCGATATAACAGCTTACACATTTTTTTCTCCCAATGTTTGAAATAGTTAAAGGTCCCGTGTAATTAAAATAAAGTTTTTTAGATGGTAGCTTCAGTCTGTTAATTTTAAGGATATTTATTAGCTAGTGTGCTCTAAAACAGTGAAAAAAATTCAGGTTTAGAAGATATAAAACTGATATAAACATGCTCCACTCAAGCGGCTCTGCAGTGAGCACCTTCTCCTTGACTGAGAAGCAGATGTCAACCGTTAGAATTTTCACACCATACCTGCCAAAGTCAGCAAAAATGTCAGCAACTAACAGGCATTATAAATGTCGAGTTGCCATATTTTGAGATGAAACATCACATACACCCTCTTGGGACTCTTGTAAAAGGGGGCATAATAGGTCCCCTTTAAGACTAGAACTTCTGATGACTAATTTCAGGCACTCAAAAATCCGAATTTATACATTTCTTAAAAAAAATAAAAGAATATATTGACCACGTACTTTGAAACATGAGTGTATATGGCTAAGTATTTAAAACCTGACAAATGTATTTTAGTAAAATGTTGCTTGAAAAAAAAAAAACCAAGAGTAAACGGGTTATCTAAAACATTTTTAACGTATTGCACTCTATCACTACAACAGTAATATATATTTCTGTAATATACTGTATTAGCAGTTTTTGTAATAAACTCTTACCCCACTGCGAGGTGAGCTTTGACCTTCTGCTCGGGTGTGACTTTAGACACATATTTCCTGGCTTCATATTTGTTATGATGTTTAATACACACATCTACGAATGGCTGTAAAACAAGAAAGACAGAGAACGGTTAGTTCACGACAATCATTCTAAGAGTAATCCAAGACTGATTATCAGTTACCAGATATCCAATAGGAGACTTTTTGCTTTTGGCAAATTTCTCCAGCTCGTCCCAGTCCTCCTTCTCAGCAAGAGCCTTCAACTTTAGCCACCAGAACCTGACGATGAGAAACATTTTCACTACTCCATTGCTATAACAGTTTAAGTCAAAATTACTTATCTTCCAGTAATTTTTTTTCTTCAAATATGTCACAAATCATGTTTAACAGAGCAAGGAATTTATCACAGTATTTCCTATAATATTTTTTATTCTGGAAAAAGTCTTATTTGTTTTATTTTGGCTAGAATAAAAGCAATTAGAATTTTTTTTTTTACACATTCTACAGAACAAACCATCGTTATACAGTGACTTGCCTAATTATCCTAATTGGCCTAATTAACATATTTAAGTCTTTAAGGGCCTACTCACACTATGCCATCCGTACCGTGCCCAGGCCCGTTTCCCGGATCATTTGAGAAGTGTGAGTGCGCTGAATCGGGCTCAAGCACGGTTCACTTGGCCGGCCCTGGCCAGGTTGGAAGAGGTGGGCCTGAGCGCGGTTGACTTGAGCTTTGGCACGGTACGCTTGTGTGTGAGTGAAAAACGCACCAAAGCCCTAAACTGAAAGCGAGACGTGACTTTTAAGGGGCTGTTTCATATGGATTTATTAATAATTCTTACTGTTCAGTGAACGCAAACTGCCGTAGTTTATTAAAGACGCAAACTCCTCACTGCACGACAGCTGCGCGCCTTCAGCAAACGTCCTCATTCCTGCAGCCCGAGGGCTTTCTGATTGTTCATGAGCGCCAAAAGTGGCGGATCTGTTTGGCGAAATATCTGACTGCGTGTCCCCGCATCCCTAAGAATTGTTTGGCGAAATATTTGACGGCATATCAAACGACTGAAACGATATAACTAGAGAAATTTCCACTGTGCTGCTGAGTGAAAGATTGCTTCTCACTGAACAGCGCAGCAGTGATGACGTAAGCGTGCCGAAGCCCGTTTGTGGTGTGAGTGAGGGCCATCGGGGGAGACGGGAGGGGGGACAAGCGTGCTTTGGTCCGGTTCGAGGCAACTGTACCTAGTGTGAGTATGGCCTAAATGTCTCTTGAAAAATAAATAGTAAAATATTATGTGCTGTCATCATGGCAAAGATAAAACAAATCAGTTATTAGAAATGAGTTATTAAAACGATTATGTTTAGAAATGTGTTAAGAAAAATTCTATTTTCCGTTAAATAGAAATTGGGGAAAAAAATATACAAGGAGGCTAATAATTCGGGAGGGCTTATAATTCTGACAGCTGTATATCATCATGATATTAATAAAACATACTCTTTATCTATAAAGATACGCTACACTTATATTATATTAAACACACTATCTGGGACCTTGTACTTGTAACCTTTGGGGTTGCATGCATAGAAAGATACTTTGGCAGTAAATTACATCTTATTTACACTACTTTTGATTACATTCATGATTAGCCAGAATACATAAATGACAGCAGATATTATTTTTAGAGGCCTCAGAGTTACCACTGAAGCTGAGAGAATGTGGTTAATGATTCTCAACACCGCCAGCGGGATATGAAAGTGTATATATGAATTTATTAGTATTAGTACTATCAGTAGAAGACACACCTCTTATCAGGCACTCTGAAGTCTTTGTAAAGCTGTTCTGCGTGTTTGTGCAGTCCCACAGACAGCAGTGTGGTCATAGTGTCATGAAGAGAAAAGCCCACAAGAGGCTCGCCCTTCTCTTCCTCCAGCTTCCTCTGAAACCGCAGCAGACGCATCTCGTCTTCTGTGCTCTGAGGCAGGAGAAAACAATAAAGACTATTATTATGCTTGATAAGAGAGATTTAAATGGGACCTATTATGCGAAAATCTCTTTTGTAAGTGGTTTAAACACAGTTGTGTGGGAACAGTCTGTGAATATAACCTACTTCTCGTGATGAAAATGTATTCATTTTATTGTTTACAAACACACTTCATTAAAACAGTCTGCAGAAACACTTTGATTGACATTCTCCCTTTGTACATGTCATCAGAGGGGGAAAGCCCCGCCCATTAGTGATAATATCTCCCACATTAACATAAGATGTTAGTCTTGTTTCTGAATCTACCACTATGCTGACACATAGGCATTTGTAGCTCTGCCCTCTTTTGAAAAGAGAAAATCTCATTTGAATTTAAAGCGATAGTCACCAAAATAGAACAACTTGAATCATACCCTAAAAAGTATAGTTTCAAAGAGTTAATTTATATTTTGTAAAAAGGCTCATAATAGGTCCCCTTTAATGTTCTGGCAGCTCAGATACTGAACTCTCTCCCATGCAGAAAATTCTGTGGTTTTCACCTTGGCAGAAAACTCATTCTTGGCCTTGTAGTACTCGTCCACGGCACTTTGTAAAAGAGCAATCCGTGCTTCCAGTCTCTGCAATTACACATACACACACATTCATATTTTAAGTCACATGCATTCTTGCTAAAGGAACTAGAAAACAAAAAGCTTTTGCCTACCTGCTCTTTATAGCTGGCTTTTACGTAGAAATTGCCCAGTTCCTCGTGATCGTCATCTTGATTGAAAAGATCTTTCAGCGTATCCTGCTCCTGATGTTTACAAAACTGAAAAACAATCAAGATTTTAACTTTAATCCAAGCTTTATTTCAATAAAGCTTCAATTATTTATTGTTGAAGAAATATTATTCAATTATTATTACAATTATTTTAACCCAAACAATTTGAGTGATTCTAATAGTGTTTGTAATGCCCAATTATTTTCTTCCTGTTCACAAGGAATACGCTTTAATGTGAAAACTGAAATGTAATAAAATTAGACAAAGTTTGTCTTTTAGTTGCTTTAATTCTTGCTCGCCTTTGTGAGCAAAAAGATCTCAAGGATGGACTCACAGGCTTTTTTAAAGACAATACTACAATGTTAAAGATAAGAATTTAGATTCTCTACAGCTCCTTACCTCTTAAACAATGAGTAGATTAGATTACACATGGCTGTAATAGCCCAATGATTATAATGCATTTGATTTTACTTTAGCAAAACCTTAATCAATCTATAATAGCAATATAATTGCCATTTATCACTATAGGATCATCAATATTATAAATTTCAATCACGTTTTAGTTAATAATAACAACAACAACAATCTAATCAATTTATAGAACAAATGATTTAAATGGATTTTAAACTGTTTACAAAAGTTTACCCTTTTAAAAACACCAGTACACCATATTTAGGCATTTTATATTTCTAAAGTTCCTTTGAAGATTGATAATATTCTGAAGCTCCACGTTCTGTTCTTAAATAATTTTATTTTATTCCATCCTATTTCTTAAGCAAAGATGTTAAATTGTACAGTACAGCCATTATATTTTTCTGGCTTTAGCATTCCTCAGTAGCTTTGTTCAGTGGTTGTTGACTTGCTCCTGATTATACCTTGACCATTTGTCTGTTACTTTCTTTAAGCATAATTTCCATCCATACTCCAATAATCGAACACCTTCTTAAAAATAAACCAGTTTTCTGTTCTGTTCTCAAGCTTAGGCAAATAACTGAGGAAGCACCAATCAGTGGCCTCATTTTTAAGATGTCATCATATACTGTAGACTTCTTGCAAAGTATTTTAAAGTATCTTGAAACTACAAAAATACAAAACATTAAAGTATTTTAATACAAAATATTAAGCCCTTTTCATCAACCATATCAAATTACAAAATACTATTTTGTATTTGAAACACATATTTGAAATGCATGCATCATAAATACTGCCCATCCATGGCTCCCATGATCTTGGAGGACTGCATCCATACATGCAACGACCCAAATCACTTATTAATAAAGTCATCTGGAATGGCAAAGAAGGCATTCTTGCAGGACTCCCATAGTTCATCAAGATTCTTTGGATTCATCTTAAATGCCTCCTCCTTCATCTTACCCCAGACCCCAGACTGAGAAGGAGCACTATCCTGCTGAAGAATTTGCCCTCTCCTGTGGTTTGTAATGTAATTGGCGGTACAAATGTCTTGATACCTCAGGCTGGTGATGTTGCCATCCACTCTGCAGATCTCTTGCACGCTTCAATACTGAATGTAACCCCAAACCATGATTTGTCTTTCACCAAACTTGACTGATTTCTGTGAGAATCTTGGGTCCATGCAGGTTTCAATAGCTCTTCAGCAGTATTTGTGATGACTGGGATGCAGTTCAACAGATGATTCATCAGAAAAAAAAAAAAAAACGACCTTTTGCCACTTTTCCCAAGTGATCAACTAGAAGTGAAGTTATTATTTGTTTATCTTAAAATTGGGATCGACAACAAGGCTTGTCAACTGTATATATATATATAATCTATACATCTATATATTTGCATCTATATATATATATATATATATATATATATATATATATATATATATATATATATATATATATATATATATATATATATATATATATATATATATATATACATACATACAGAATATACCTTCAGTTTTTAAAATCACGAAAATCAATTACAGTTCTATAGCTAATGAAAATTTCAAACGGTAATACTAACCCTCAGAAAGTATATGTTGTTTACCTTATAACAATCGGTAATCATGACAACACACAAGTGTGTACCTGTCTGTAGAGGCTCAGAGCCACAGGTTGGTTCCTCAACATCATGAAGAAGTCTCCTCTGTTTAGCTCATTCTTCAGGTACATCACCACGGTGTACACTAGCATGTGAAAAGCAAAAACAGTTTTGTATTCATTGGATTGTTTTACAGTTTTTTGTTTTACTTCATTAAATAAAACCAGCCTGACATTACAAACCCCACACTTAAATGGTACAGCATGTATATAAATTGTTCCTCAAGTAGGTATCACATGATATTTGGAATGGGTGTGTGTGAATGTGTGTACCGAGGTCTGTGTCGCCACTCTCAATGGCTTTGCTCAAAGCCAGAGGACTTTTCTTCATTTTCAGCAGCAGTGGGACCTGTTCACCAGAGCGAGGCTCAAACTCCAACAGCTAAAATCAGGAGAGGATAACAAAAGCTGACTGACAACCCATAATATTCTGCTTGTGCTTTTGAGAGCATACAGTCAGTCTATTTATGCATGCACCTTAATGGCGAGCTCCGTTCGTCCGCTCTCGTATGCTTTGGTGGCGATTTCAGAGTAGGAGATTCCAGCAGCATCGGCGAGCTTCACACTCACAGCTTTTGCAATGACTTCATCAGATTCCTCCTTCTGCTGGACCTACACAAAGCAAAAAGATGTTTATATATGATTAACTGATGGACTCAACTCTCACAGTGTCATACATGTTCATTTATATTTAAACATTTACATCTTCACAAGGTTCAGCAAGAGCAAATAATCCAATCGGCATCTGCAAACGTACTTAATGTTCTGTAAACAACAGCAGTGAAACCAGTGGTTTTATGCTCATAATAAAAAGTAGAAAACAACTTTATCATGAATTATTTGACACTTATTTTGACACTTCATATAAAAGCAACAGTGTTCATCTAAAATTGTGTAAAAAATGTTTGCTTTAACTTTTGATTAATTAAATGCATCCTTGATCATGACAACGTAGTTCTGTAGTATCTGTGAAAATAGCATACATTTTTTTTCATTTGTACATTTTTATACGCACATTTCTGTTAAGCTAATATATGCAGCAGGAATTTACACACATGCATTTATAAAAATCCCCACTAAAAAACTCAAGATATACAACGATTTAAATAATATACAGCAAATAAGAGATTCATTTCAAGCTTCAGCAAGAAGTTTTTGTATAACTTGTATTAACCTAATGTCATTTTTCAAAAACACAAACGACTCTATTTTAATGATCTAGGCTCAAAGTCTAAAGCGCATGGCGCAAAAGCATTAAAGACATGTCCGAATCCATTTTTGCCATGTTAAGGACAAAAAAATACAGTTTGAGCAACGGTGCATGATCTAACAGGGTTGTGCTTATTCTCTTAATGACTTCTGGGTGTGTTTTGAGCATAACTATTTACATGCAGACTTTGTGAGTAGAAACACTAAACACTTTACTAGCAAGACCATCTGCAGCACATGGATAAAAAATGAGCCTCCTCCATTGAGCCTCTTTACTTTTACTCTTTACTTTACTCCTTTACTTTTGTGGAGTAAGGTAACGGTGTTGAATACTCCACCGAATACATCCATTAGCCTACATCTTTAATTTCGTTTAAGTGCACAGATTTGTTTCAAAACTATTTCTAAATTCATATTTAATTTCCAGCAAACGAAGTGCGGTCAAAAATCTGAGTTAAATCCAACCACACGTCCTATTCTCATGCCCCATATGATTACGCATACGTCTCCAAAAGGTGGACAAATCTAAACTTGTTTTTATTAAAACAGATATGAATATGCATATAGTAAATAATACTGCTAATAATAACAACATTATAAAACCATATTGTCATGAATAAACTGAAAAAGCCCATTGAGATTAAGAAAGCATGGAGGTAGTGGTTTTATAGTCATGTAGAAAATTATAATTTTAATAATACGCCTCCTTTTGAGACCGGCACACCCATAAGTCCACAAAGTGGCGCAAATGGATTTGCTATTTAAACAATGTGGTGAAAAAAGTGAAAATAAGGGTTGCGCTGGTCTTAAACAACAACAAATTGTGCCAAACATGTCTTGCGCCTTACTGCGCCAGGTGTATGATAGGGCCCAAAGTGCCATTCAATTGCTATGCTAACAACGCTCAGATTTATATACCTTTGAGAGACTTAAACCCCAACTCACTCAATGCTCTATCAGCATGTTTTTATGATGTTAAAGAATGGGTGCTTTTTAACTTTGTAAAGTTAAATGAAAACAAAATGAAATTAACTGTGTTTGGTCCAAAAAAGCAGCAAGTGATTCAGCTTTTAAATGCATCATCCTTGTCTGGTTTTGTCAAACCTAGTGAAAAACCTGGGTTTTGTAATTGATAGGCGACCTAAAATTGCACATACAACTAAATGCTGTTTAGCTGTTTTTATGTGCTAAACCTTTATCCAACTCAGACTTTGAGAAAGCCATCTCTGCCATTGTATTCTCCAGGATGGACTATTGTAATTCTATATTCTATACAATTGATGTTCGTACAGTGATCTGTCAACAAAAAAATCTAAATACGGCAGCAAAAATGATCAAATCCGCAAAAATTGATTCAGTGACCTGTTATTAATTTCATTTAATGAGGTATATGCACATGGACTTATTTACAGCCCCAGGGCTTCCAGTTAATTGTCATCCTATACAAAATCGCTGTGTTTAAGATCTGATTTCTTTAAAAAACAGCGATCTTCACTGTCTGGCTGAGATACGATATAAAGTGGGTATTAGACCAAACAAGAAGCACTGCATTAAATAATATTTTTCAGTAGCATGTCTCTAAAATATGAAAAAATTATTTGTACCCCAGTATTTTCAATGGAATTTCTGCGCTAGCCTGCAGCTAATGATGGCGCCTGCGTTTAAACAGTCTTTTGTTTCATTGTACGCTTTAACAACTAAATGGATTCATAAGTCTCTTTATTTGAATTACATTACGAGATGTATGCTGTAAAAAAAACCTTATGAAATTCATCATTGGCTGAAAAACATGCTATACTAGTTGTGCATATAGCACATTGTCTGCCAGTAAGACTACCAATAATTTTTAAGACTATTGTATTTGTTTTTAAAGCCCTGCACAATTTAGCTCCTATCTATCCAAATAACATGCTGCCAATTTACAGCCTGCCTAAATCTATGAGGTTTGAAAACCAACTACTTTTTTGCACTACCAGAACAAATTTAAACATAAAGGTGACAGAACTTTTTCCCATGTAGGGCATAAATTGTGGAACAATCTTCCTCTTTCCATCCTCTCTGCTAAATCTCTAATGATTTTTAAAGTGAAGCTACAACAACATTTTCTTAATGCAAATGGAGAGTTGTGTAATCTTGATGTGTTGTGTAGTGTGTGCATTGGCTTCTCCTTTTCTAGTTTGTTAGTCATGTGACTGTAAACCACATAGGGCACTGTGAATTGTATTAAATTGTGCTATATAATTAAATAAATAAAGAAAACAAAAGAAAGTTTTTGCATAACTTGCACTAACATAATGCCAAGAACAAACATTGTTTGTCGTGTCATATAATGATGCTCCATCATAAACATGCTTACATTTATATTCTATTTATAAACATTAATAGCCACTATTATAATATTACCAGAAACAAAAGACATTTTTTGACATATTATTGCAGCCTAAACTTTTCCTGTTTTGAAATGTGAATTTTAGTACGACGATTAACTATATTTGACATAAAAGACAACACAGTTACAATTTAAATAATTATCATAAAATTCATAATTACAAAAAATACATTGGAAAAAACGTGGCCATTACAAAAAAAAACAACAACAACAACAAACAAACAAGAAAAATTTCAATTCTGACCCTGACACACACAAACACACATTCACATACCTTGAAGCAGGCCCAGTGTTTGAGCACACGACTTACTCCCTGATATTCCGGAGTCTTCAGATATCTGCAAACCTCAATAGCCAGTGGATAGAGTTTACGATAAACCAATCTAATAAAACAGAGGTAAAAGTCATATATTCATTTGAATAATCGATATTATTCCAATAAAGTGAAATCCTTGCCCCCTCAAACAGCCTATTCACCTGTCGATGAGCACCTGTACGGTCATCTGCTTGAACTGAGTGTGGGTCAGAGGAATGCCTATGGTATAATCTCGAACAGCATTCAACACTCGCAGGTCTCGGCACATACTGACGAACTGCTCCGGAGGAAAATTACTCAAGAAACACTTCCCAAACGAAGCCGCCTGCAGAGAGAGCAAGACACAAGGAGATAAGTTAAATTCATTCCTTACTGTAAATGAAATGTGTCTTCTCTTTTTATGTGCAGCGCCACTTAATGAGATCCAAGGTAAGTAATGTGCACCTTTTGTAAAGCTTCTTTGAAACAATAATTATAGTGAAAAGCTCTATACAAATAAACTAAAATTAAATTGAATTACTGATAGATGTGTGTCTCACCCTCAAGAGTGTTTTCTGTGTCTCGGGTTCATGTTCATGCCCGGCGGCTTCCACACACTGTTGTACCGCTTCGCTCAGCAGACTCTGCTCTTTAATCTCTCTCAGATACTCGTCTGCCTTCTGACTCTCTTTCTGCAAATACATTCATGCACACAAGCATTAGACGTGATGACATCACTAATATAATTAGCATTTACAATTAGGGCTGCACGATATTGGAAAAATATGACATTGCGATATTTTGTTTTGCTGCGATATGCAGTAGATTATGATATAAATATAATTTCACCAGATGATCTGAACTGTTTTATTTGAAAGATTTCATCAATTTAGATTGACTAGGGTGATCAATCCTTTTTCTGCATAAGATACATAAAATCTGCATATATGAAAACAATAATAAAGAGCAAAAAAAAAAAGTTAAATAAATAGTGCTTCGTGGTTTTCTTGGGAGTCTAACAGTATTGAAATACAGATTTTGAACAATCAAATGTAAGATAACAAGGTTATTTTAGTATAAATAATTTTATACAATAATATTTCATAATATCTTTATCCTTTAATCGGTAACACTTTACAAGGTTCAGTAGTTAATGCATTTACTAACATGAACTAATCATAAAGAACACCTGTACAGCATTTATTAATCACAATTGAACATTTACTAATGCATTATTAACATCCAAGTCCATGCTTGTTAACATTAGTTAATGCACCATGAGTTAACATGAACTAACAATGAACTACTGTATTTTCATTAACTAACGTTAACTAACATAAATAAATACCGTAGTAAATGTATTGTTCATTGTTTGTTCATGTTAGTAAAAGCATTAATTACCGTTAACTAATGAACCTTATTGTAAAGTGTGACCCTTTAATCTTTAATAAATAATCAAATCCTGCAATGTGACTATCCACACATTGTGATGCAATCGCTCAAACTACATACTGTTCGGCCCTGTTTAAAATAACAGATTTTTTCATCATATTCAATTATTATTAAAACATAATAGTGCTGGGCAAAGATAAATCGAGATAAATTGCATGCAAAATAAAATTTTTTTTTTGGACATAAGGTATGTGTGTATATATTTATTTTGAATATGTAATACAGAAGCATACATAAAACAAAACAGATATTTGGCGTATATATTTAAATTTATATACAGTTGAAATCAGAATTACTAGCCCTCTGTTGATTTTTTTCTTTTTTAAATATTTCCCAAATGATGTTTAACAGAGCAAGAAAATCTTCAAAGCATTTCTGATAATATTTTTTCTTCTGAAAAAAGTCTTATTTGTTTTATTTCAGCTAGAATAAAAGCAGTTTTAAATTTTTTTTAAAACACCATTTTAGGGACAAAATTATTAGCCCCTTTAAGCAATTTTTTCCCCGATAGTATACAGAACAACCCATCGTTAAACAATAACTTGCCTAATTACCCTAACCTGCCTAGTTACCCTAATTAACATAGTTCAGCCTTTAAATGTCACTTTAAGTTGTATAGAAGTGTCTTAAAATAACTAGTAAAATATTATTTACTGTCATCATGGCAAAGATAAAATAAATCAGTTATTAGAAATGAGTTATTACAACTATTATGTTTAGAAATGTGTTAATAAAATCTGCTCTCCGTTAAACAGAAATTGGGTATAAAAATAAACAGGGGGGTTAATAATTCAAGGGGGCTAATAATTCTGACTTCAACTGTATATAATTTGTATCATACATATTTAATAGCTAAATAAATATAAATAAACATTTTCTCAAATGTATGCATGCATGTGTGTTTTATATATATAATATACACAGTAATAAACACACACACATATTTATATTATGCCAATGGAAAGGTTTATTTTGTATGAGATTAGTATTTGCCCAGATTATTAATAAATATTAACAATAAAACAATTAAACATTTTAGCATTATTTTTCTCAACACCGACCAGCAATATACATGTTTGACATTTACTATTTTGCTGAACAATACAACACTGTATACAAAAAGCATATTGTTTAATATATAACGTTGTTCAATTTAAAATTGTAAATAATGTTCAATTTCTTGCACGAACAGACTGTTTAAGACCTTGATGCACCATCAAGAATCTTCAGGTATTAGCTATTTATGAATCACCAACGCAAATGAACAATTTGGGGTTACCTGTCCCTTTCAGAAAACTTTAAAGATATAGTTCCCACCAAAAAATTAAAATTTACTCTAACTCAAATGGTTCTAAACTGAATTTCTTTCTTTGTTTAAAAGAAGATGCTTTGAAGAATGTTGGGGGAAAAAACAGCCATTGAAATTGATAATAGAAACAAAACATAATATACAATGGCTGTTTTTCCCCACAACATTCTTCCTTCGTATTTAACAAAAGCCTGGAGAACAAGTGAATAATGATTAAATGATGGCAGGATTTAATTTTTGGGGGGAAATATTTCAATAAGTAAAAACTAAAGACACTTTGCACATTTTTATAAAAGTGTGCAACTTTTAAAATACTCCTAATTATCAAATTATAGTTATCATTATTATAGTTGTATGCTTTTTGGATACTGTGCTAAGGTTAAAGAAATGTTTGTCCTGAATAGTAAATGTGTCTCACCTCATATTCTTTATGTGCCTCCAGCAGTAAAGCTCCAGGAGCCATTGAGGCAATTTTAAATATCTCCTCACAAGCACCTGCAGAAAATCATAACACTTGTGCATTTGTAAAACATGGAGACCAAAACCATTCGATTCATTCGTACATTTGGGGTCAAAAGCTTTAGAATACATACTTTAACTCAGGCAGCATGTATTAAACTATTCCCAGTCCCAGTGAAACATTCAAATGTTAATATTCACTATAATTGTAATAAGCGCTGATAATAATAAGAAATTCAGTAGTAAATCAGCATGCTAGAATGCCTTCTGAAGAGATCATGTGATTAAACACTGCAATTACAGAAATTAAAGGGAAAGTTCACGCAAATATGAAAATTTTGTCATCATTTACTCACCCTTTACTTGTTCACCTTTATGAGTTTCTTTCTTCTGTTAAACACAAAAAAGATATTTTGAACCAAGCGAACCAAGGCCTGTAACCATTGACTTCCATAGTATTTGATTGTCCTACAATGGAAGTTAAAGGTGACCACTTTCCAGCTTTCTTTTAAATATGTTCAGTTGTGTTCAACAGAGAAAAAGAAACTCGTAAATGTATGCAACAACTAGAGGGGAGACAATTTACATTTTTGGGTAAACTATCCCTTTAAGTAAGTCTTTTAAAAACACTCTTATAGACCCAACACTTTTAAATAGCAGTGGACATTTTTCCCAATGCATTTTCTAACCTGGGACCTCTTGCAAAAGCTCATGGTGTGTTCCACTGATGATCCGAACCCCATCTAGCTCCGGGACCAGGATTGAATCATCATCCAGTTGATACTGAATTGTTTCTTTACACTCTCCGACCACCAGGAGAAGCCCGTCCCACATGACCACTGCCGAAGGCTCCTGACTCTTGGGCCTGCGACACCTACAAGAAAAAGTAAAGTAATGAAATACAAATCGTGAGTGAAAAATATGCATAAAAAGGGTAAAATGGTTTCCTACCATGCCATCTGTCTGGGGGGTGTTTTGATTTTGGTTTCGACCTCACTGAGTTTCTCCTACATCAAGAAAACATTAACAGACGCAGAATTATCAACAAAGTAATGAAGGTTTAAAGGAATAGTCCACTCAAAATGAACATTCTGTTATGATTTACTCACCTTTAACTTGTTTAAATGTTTCTTCTGTTGAACACAAAAGAAGATATTTTGAAGAAATCTGTAACCATCGACTTTTGTAGTATTCGTTTTTTCCCTACTATGGAAGTCAACGGCTACAGGTCTTCAGCTTTCTTCAAAATGTCCTCCTTTGTGTTCAACTCTAGAAACGATTGGAATTATTTTAGGATGAGTAAACAGTGAGACAACTGATCAGTTACCCCTTGTGTGCTGTTGGGGATGTTTTCATTCACTTTAGGTTGATTTTGAGTCATTATTTGGCCACAGCTTTCTCTGTGTTTCAGCAAATGAAATGATTTTTGCTGTCAAAATCTCATTTTGACACATATTTTAGGAAAAGGCTTTGAAAATGTTCAAAAACTCAGCAATACACTCTTGACAAATTGACTACCGTTTGTTATGTTCGTTATGCTGTTTTTGTCCTAATAACTTCCATTACAGTTACATTTTTTTTTTCAATTGCAATGCCATGACACCATATCATCATGCATTCGCAATTGTTGCTGGTTTTCCTTGTTGGGAAGAGGTAAATGTTTGATTTTTACTGTTGATCATCAGTTGCAGTGCAAAAAAAGCTCCATAGAAGGCAAAGGGCCCTATCACACACTCGGCACAGTGTGGCGCAAGGCGCGGCGCAATAGTCTTTCGGTAGTTTCAGCTTGGCGCAAGAGTCGTTTTGAGGCGTTGCGCTACGCTGTTTAAATAGCAAATGCATTAGCGCTCATTTGTGCGCCCATAGGCGTTCTGGTCTAAAAAGGAAGGCGTTCTGAGGCGGACCGCTGGCGCGTTGCTATTTTGAGAAACTATAATAGATTTTTCATTAGACCAAAACTAACCCGGTCTAAACTCCGGCGCAGAGTTGCGCCTCGCTTACACACTGCTTAATACGCACAAGAGAGCAATAGGCAAATATCTTTACATATGAAAAAATGTAAATATTAAGGATATATATATAGTATATAATAAGAATAGATATAGGATATAAATATAAAGGATTAAAATATTACAAAACATATTATTTTCTAGCCTACATAAATATGAAAAATCCCTGTTTTTATGTCTTCTTCATCTCGGGAGGCTTTTTTAGTTCATTCATAACAATTTGCTTTTGCATAATGTTATTATTATTAGCAGTATTATTTATTATATCCATATTTACATTTGTTTTATTAAAAACAAGCTTAGATTTGCCCACCTGTCAGGTTTTAGACCATATGGGGCACAGCATGTGTTTTAGGATATAACTCAGGTTTTTGAGCACATTTTGTTATTATTATTCATTTATTCGTTTGCTGGAAATTAGAACTGAATTTAGAAATAGTTCTGAAACGAATATTAGCGCTTAACAAACAAAATTATTTATTTATAGACTAATTGATGTCTGTGCGTAAAGGTTTCCCTATCCAAGAGCGAAAGTGATCCATTATCTCTCATTCTCACGCAGTAGATGCTCTGTTTAACAGTTTTCTGTTAAAAAACTGTCAACTGTTAACTGTTCGCTTGTGAAATGCTCATTTTTTCCACTTAGACTTACTTTACGTCCTGTAAATAGTGAATGCGCTCTTGGCGCGACGCAGCTGGCTCTTAAAGGGAATGGGAGATGAGACTCTAATTGGTTTATTCTCAAAACACACCTATAACTCATTAAGAAAATAAACTCAACCCTTAAAGACCATGCGCCATAGGTTTTCCCATCCTTAAATTAGCAAAAACGCGTTCTGACACGCCCTGAAAGCGTTTGCGCCCTGCGTTTTGAGCTTTGTGCATGGACCGTCAAAATAGAGCCCAAAAAAGTTTTTGCCTTCTCTATGGAGTATACAGTGTGTGTGTGTGTGTGTGTGAGAGAGAGAGAGACATTCGCACACTTATCTTGATATTTCTGAGAAAATCTAAATAAGATCCTCAGCTCTCAGAACATAGTAAACATGGTGAGTATATTCATGCACACATTATAATGTGCTGTTTTACTTTATAGAGCTCCAGAAGCTTTCTTGCACAGGTTTATCTAAAGGGTTATGCTGCCAACTGATGATTAAATGAAGCATTTTACCTCTTCCCAACAGGGAAATCCACCAACAGTCAAGAATGCATGTCATGGATTTGCAATCAAAAAATGTCATTATAATGAAGTCAACGAGCAAAAACAGCCTCAAACATAACAAAGGTATAGTCAATTTGAACAGTTCACAAGAGTTAAGTGAAAGACAGATAGTCACTTAGAACACTGATAAAACAGCTTCATACAATACAATGAAGTGATATCACTGGCTTTCTCTTACCTTTAGATTGGATGTGCCCATCCACACATGGCCAGAGTCGGTGAGGAGTGCAAGATATTTATAACTGAATGAGACACACATGTGAAGTATACTGGACGCTTGTGGAGAGAGGCCTGGAGGAGTCTGACACACATATACAAACATTATTTATTTTAGCAGATGCTTTCTTACTGAGATTACACTTAGTTTGATGAACCACAGCCTGTTTTTACCTGTCTGGCTGATCATTACAGAGCTGTAATCTTCCAAACTAACCAGTTACAGAATAAATCACTTTGATTTGGGACAAAAACACTGAATTATGTTTTTATGAGGTGATAAACTATTAATATCATAAAGAAAACAATGAAACTTGAAAGAGTAGCACAATGCAAAGCTATTGATTTATAGGTATTTGTTACATACTACCATTCAGAAGTCTAAGATTGTTCATATTTATGGGGGTGTATAACATACACTACAATTCAAAAGTCTAAGATTGTTAATATTTAAGGGGGTGTACAACATACACTACGATTCAAAACGTCTAAGATTGTTAATATTTATGGGGGTTTACAACATACACTACAATTCAAAATGTCTAAGATTGTTAATATTTATGGGGGTGTACAACATACACTACGATTCAAAACGTCTAAGATTGTTATTATTTATGGGGGTGTACAACATACACTACAATTCAGAAGACTAAGATTGCTGATATTTTGAATGTTTTATTTGGAATACAATTTCTTCTGCTTACCAGTACTGCATAACATCAATAAAGTTAATATAAAAGTTTAAAATTGCCACAATAAAAGATAAATGTTTCTACAAAAACGTATAAAATAAACATTAATTTTTATATTAAATATTATATACATTTTTATGATGGAAAATTTAAATTATTGGCAATTTGGCACCATTACTTTATTCTTAAATGCCACACGATCCTTCTAATTAGAAATCGTTCTAATTTTAATAGCATCTGGATGCAGCCTTGATGATGTAAACTGAGAGCACATATCTCAGTGATACAATGCCAGATACAACACACTCAATGGAGCTAGTGATGTCACTGTGAGGGGTTGGGATAGGTGAGTGCATTAAAAAGCATTGGATGTAGCTCAAATTGCACTGTACCAGGTCTGCATTCAGGTCTCTCTCTCTAATTTTCTGATTTGCAAATCAATGCCAAAAAATAGTTTTGCTTCATATTATGTGTAACTCTTCCTGGACCACTACTGGTCTTATGTTGCATGGGTATATGTTTATATATATGTATATTTTTTAACAATCTCCAAAAAATATGTTGCATGGGTATATGTTTATATATATGTATATTTTTTAACAATCTCCAAAAAATATGTTGTATGGGTCAAAATTATTGATTTTTGTAATGCCAAAATCTTAATTTTAAGTAAAAATCATGCTCCATGTAGATATTTTGTAAATTTCCTGTAAATATATCAAATAAATTTTAACCAATACATTTTAATTAGTAATTAATAAATATAATATAAAATAGAATAGAAATACAATAAATAGTAATTTAATTAGCATTGCTAAGCACTTAAAACTTAATAAAAAAAACTTTAAAAAAATAAAACTTTAAAGGCGATTTTCTTAGCAAAAGCTCAGCTTTTAACCCCTTATGACTATTTTTGTGGTCACATACTGTAGAAACTGTGATATTTTTATTCACCATTCTTTGATGAATAGAGTATTTAAACAAATATATATGTTAATATAACACATTTACAGTAATTTTTCTACCAATATATAAACAAACAAGCAGACTTGCTTACTTTAAACCTTAGAAAGTTAGTATAAAATATCATAAAAACACACCATAAATAACACTATCCATTCCAAAATACAGCATATTGGACCACCTATTCAATGCTTTTGGACTTTGGTTCATTAATCTGGAAGTTTTTCCTGTTCCAGTGAGGCAGCATTTGATTGAATTATTAAATCTAATTGTCTGTGTAAGATGTTTACCACAGGAGTGCAGGCTGTATTGTCCAAGATGAACAGATGAGCACCACTGGCCACCAGGACTTTACTTTGTCGGTCCTGAGTCAGCACTGCCCAACATGATGGCGCTGCCTGGATACCTGAAATGAAATATTAGTCAATTAATAGAAATTTCCTTTCAGAGTTACAAACTTCAACTAGGGCTGCACAATGTAGGAAAAAATTTCACATTGCGAAGTTTCTTTATTCTGCAATATCTATAGCAGGGGTGACCAACCTTGTTCCTGGAGAGTCACCTTCCTGTAGATTTCAGTTGCAACCCATATCAAACACACCTGCCTGTAATTATCACGTGGTGTTCAGGTCCTAATTAATTGGTTCAGGTGTGTTTGATATGGGTAGCAACTGAAATCTGCAGGAAGGTTGGCCACCCCTGATTTATTGCGATATGAATACAACTTGACCAAATGACTTAATATCTCTATTTGGAAATAATTTATAGTGTTAGATTAATTAGGATGATCTGCCATGGATGTGCTTCTCTATAAAATATAAAAAGCAACCTGTAAATACAATAATGAAAAAGATACAATTGAAATAAACAGTTTTTTTGTTTTCCAAGGCGCATTTAATCGAGTATTTAATAGAGTAATTGAATAATAAAAACAAACATCATTCAAAAAAGTACTCATTATTAAAGTTACAAATGGTACAATTTGATTACTGCCTGAATGCTTTTAAAATCACTGCATAATCACAGGCCTCAAAAAAATAAAAGTCATATAAAGTCAGAATTATTAGCCTATAATATTAGCCTTACATTTCTACAATGGAAGTATCTTTGTTATTTTGAACTTAAGAAAAGGAGATTGTTGTCAAGTGTATATCATGTGTATAGGTGAAAAATGTCATCAATACATAACATCAAATGATATTTTTATCATCTTACTGCTCTGTATTATTCATTCATTCATTTTCTTGTCGGCTTAGTCCCTTTATTAATCAGGGGTCGCCACAGCCCTAACCCTAACCGCCACAGGCCTAACCCTAACCGCCAACTTATCCAGCAGGTTTTTACGCAGTGGATGCCCTTCCAGCTGCAACCCATTTCTGGGAAACATCCAAACACACTCTCATACACTACGGACAATTTAGCCACGTCAGCCATCCCTACCGATTCAGATCATCAGCACATTAGCAGAGATTGAAAGACCTGTAAAGAGTGTGATAGACAAAAAAGACATCCAAAACATGTTTGGGAAACACTGATGTAATAAATTACGTTCCCTAAAAAGTAACCAAGTGATCCAATTAGTGTTAATAATTAATGAATTACTTTCAAAAGTAACTTTCCCCAACACTGTCAATACATGTACTTCATCTACAGTGAATCAATCAAAATTCTATTGAAGAGTGTATCTTCATGGCAGCCCAAAGATCCATATTTTACCTGGAACCTCAGGTAGCCTCCTCAGTTTGATGTCATCAATGTTTGTGGCCAAAGTGAACCGCAAGGCACCTGTCAATATGGCAACCCCTGTGCCATAGGGTGAATGAAAAATCTTGGTCTCCAGCACCTGACTCTGAGAAACTTCCTGAAAGAATGAATAAGGAATGAACATTTATTAAAAGAAATACTTTAAAGGTCCCATGAAGTGCTTTGAAATGTGCATTTTTATTCGACGTAATCTCAACCAAAATACGAAGAGAGAGAGGGGCATGGTTTAGCTCCTCCCCTTTTTATAAAACAGCCAGCAGCGTTGTGCTTTATCACCACTCTGCCAGTGAGAGTGGTTGAGCTTAAGCGCATCAAATATGAATTGTCTTGAAGGGGGCGGGGCATGCCAGATACTAGAGAGCATTTGATTGATCACGATTTGATGAAGTATAAGGTGAAATGAAAAAAACGATGATCCATTTAGGCGGAAGTGACAAACTGCGAGCTTTAAAGTTATATCACTTATATATCTTCAAAACAGAAATTGTCACTGTTTTGGAGCACACTAGCTTATAGATATCCTAAAAATGAAAAATACGGATCTATAGACTTTATGCTAATTTCATGGCACCTTTAAAAGTATAAAATTACAGATGCATTCTTTTTACTTGTAAATGCATTCTTACATTGCCCATGCTGAAGTGTCTCTTGAAGCCGCCCAAGAGATCATAGACGAGCACAGTGCCGTCCTCCTGAACACACAGTAGGTCGTCAGACACCGTCCATCCCAACTGCTTCACCACACCACTCTTCCACTAAGACAAACAACAGAGAAAACACTATAATACATTTCTAGTGCATCTAGTCAAAGCTAAGACTGCAAGATTTGGGAAAAACTGCACTTGTTTTGCCTATTTATTTATCTATTTATTATGGAGATCTGCTAGGAAGTGGTGTTTTCTTACTGGAAAGCTGGCCAGAGGGAGTCCTGAAGAAGAGTAGATCTCTAACTGTGGTCTGGCACTGGGAGAACGTCGGTTGTGCCATTTTAGGAGAGCTGACAAAGACAGAAGTGTCAGTCTCTTTGAACTACACAATGCAATCTCTATGTACTGAAATTTAATGTTACTGAATAATATTCTGCTGGGTTGATCTCATTCAAAACTCACCAATGGGACCCCCGTATGGAGCTGCAGCAAACAGACAATCTTTCAGACCGTCTTTGAGTTTCCAGGCCATCTCATACAATTCAATCTTTCTGTTTCAAGAAGAAAAAAATATAGATGATGACTGATTTGCTGGACAATGTTAATCAAGATCTATACATCACCACTTATGCTTTCTATGAAGACTCATTAAGTGGATCCAACAATTCAGTTTTTAAGAGCAAGGCAAATTTTCAAGTTTTAAGAGACAGTTCACCCAAAACTGAAAATTCTGCCATCATTTACCCACTCTTCACAAACCTGTTTAAATTTCTTTCTTCTGTTTAACACAAAATATAATTTTCTGAAAAATGTTGATAACCTGTAACCATTCACTTCCATGTTATTCATGTTACCTACAATGAAAGTCAATAGTTACAGATTTTTTAAACATTTTTCGAAACAACTTCTTTTGTGTTCAACAGACAAAATAAAGGTTTGGAACCACTTGAGGGCTAGTAAACAGTGAGCAAATTACATTATTTCGATGTCATTGAAAATGGACAGCTACTGAATTTAGTGAATGGAGGTTTCCCAGTGATGGGTTGCGGCTGGAAGGACATCCGTTGCATAAAAACGTGCTGGATAAGTTGGCGGTTCATTCTGATTATCCGCGTCCGCGGATTATTAAAGGGACTAAGCCGAAAATAAAATAAATGAATGAATAATTGGCTGTGAAAATGTTGTACTTTGATAATCATTGGATTCTAATAAGATTTTCTTACTTAGAATTTGCAAATAATACTTTTCTGAGATGATAATATTAAGAAGAAAGTCTGAATGTGTAGACATAAAACCACCTTTACCTCAATAAAACAAGCTTAAGGTTTTTTTGACAGCTTACAGAAGCTAACGTAGCAGTACGAAAATGGTTCAAGTAACGTTAACAGATTAAAAATAATTTAGCGACATTTCCAGATAACCGAAGTTAATACAGTTAAGTTAGTGTTAAAGCAAGAGAAACAGTTTGTTGTGCTGCTTCAATGACAGTCCCTCATGACACCTGTCACATGACTGACTCCTATTCAAAACACACATCCAGCTTAAACGCTGTCCTTTCTCTCTGAATAAATGTCCGCGCAAACGCAGACTGCAGCTTTCATGCACTCGTTTTGTGCATAATTTAATAAACAGAAACAGAATGAGAAAGCATTTATCTAATTTACCTGTAAAAAGCCTCGCCCAGAGGGTTCCAGTTCGCTGTAACAAACGCCATGACCGACCTATGCTGCTGAATCTGCCAAATATGTGAAACCTTATTATGAATGTTCCAGTTAGCGCTGCATTATGAGTATATTTTTATTCTGTTTATCATTCTCTTTCGCCCATCTCTTCCTCTGTCATCTTCTTCTCTCTCAGTGGTGAGGTTAAACAGAGAACAGAGCCAGAGTTTGCCGCCTTCTAGTGTTTTGGCAGTGCCAATACACATACAGAATAACGCATTCGTTTTTATTATCTACTAACCCGTCCCTTACCCTCGAGGAATATACTTACACTGCACACATGGGTGAAGTGATATAGGGGCCCTAAACAATTCCAGCTATGGGGGCTCTAGCATTAAAACTCAAAACACCCTCATTCACTATATAGACTTTTTTCCCCTCTGTAGATTCTTTTGTATTTTTTTCATGAATAAACTGCATGTTAAAACTATATTTTAAGTGGAACCTTTATCTTCTTGATGTAAAATTAAATACATTGAATTCACAAATTAAAAAACAAGTTCACAAACTAACTATGCACAGTTAACCAGCCATATTCGTGATTAGATTTTAATAATAGCCTACTTGCATGTACAGAATGAACGTTCCACTGTTTATGGGGGTCCCGGTTTTGAAAAGAAACGATAAAAATTAAAATCTTAATGGTTGTAGACAGATTTTACAACAAATGATAGAAAATGTATAAAAGACCTATATGATTAATATACTGGGCAGGGACCCCTAATTCACTTGGGCTGCACCTCACTTATTAGTTAAGTCCATCTCTGCTTACACAATAATAAAAAGTATGTAATAACCATTTGAAATGACCCATTTCGGACCCATGTGTGTGGATTACCCCTTTGCATCAAATATACTTTTGCAAAATACAAATTTTATATATACAGTTGAAGTCAGAATTATTAGCCCCCCTGTTTATTCCCCCCCCCCCCAATTTTCTGTTTAACGGAGAGATTTTTTTTCCCCCACACATTTCTAAATGTAATAGTTTTAATAACTCATTTTTAAAAACTGATTTATTTTATCTTTAAACGCCGATATGATTCATTACTATTTCGTTATACTGCTCGGCCACATGCATTTATACACTAATTGCACATTGCTGAATGTGCTTGTGAACACGTGTAATAAAATTATTCCCAAGCAAATGTTTAATCCTGTTCAATCCGATTCAGTGTCGCTCAAGTGCTGAACCGAACCAGTGCAAACGTGATATTGATTACAATATAGTAATATTGTTTTTTTTCTCTTTACCAGTGAAAATATTACATAAATCTGACTTTAACAATACGAATAAAGTTTGTTTCGAGTGTTTTTTAGAATTATTTTTTTCCCCCCAGAATTTATTTCACAACAACAAGCAAATAGTAATGGAGTCTCAGAAAAGCCAGATAATATTATAAATATTGCGTTTAATGTGTCATGAAATTAAGTTATAACAGTTTTTTCATGCGAGAATGTAGTTCTTCCAAACTAAAATCTGTGGTTTATTTATAAATATCATGTGTAATTTTAAGCGTGCTTTGCCGAGAGCGGAGATTCTGTAAACCCTACGAAGGGATTAGGGCATCTGCTGAAAAAAATATGCTTAAACCAATCAAAGCTCATGATTATCAACTTGGTTTAAACTGGACTAGCTGGTTTTAGCTTAGCTCCAAGCTTGGCTAGGCTGGTCAAGCTGGTTTTAGCTGGTCATCTCCCGGCCTGACCAGCTTAGACTAGGCTGGAAATGGCTGAAACCAGCCAGGAGCTGAAACCACCCCTGTGTAAACACTGGCTACCTCTGAGGCCACCCCAATATGATTTTGCTGTTGATATTATTGATTTAAATTTAATTATGTAAATTAACAATATTTCAATAAATAAATTAATAAAATGCAGCCACTAAATTATTATGGATAGATTACAGCCACCAACATAGCTGATTCACTGCCTCTCCTCCTCCTCTGATCATTGTTGACAGCACACACACACCTTCAACAGACAGCAAAGGAAAATTTTTAAGAAACAACAACGGGTATGTATGTCATACATTTATGTCTTCACTAAGTAACTACTCTATGTTCTCTGTAAACCTTTGTAGGTAAATACGAAACGTATAACGTTAGGCTCAGCATTTTCAAGGCTCAGTAAAGTTCTTATAACATAATTTGTTTAGTATTGTTTGACGACGAGCGATAAAACACGACTTTGGGTTCATGAGAATGCACTTTTTATGAAGAAATTATTATTTTTAAATGAAAAATTGTTGTTTATCAAATTGAAAACCACAAATCCAAAAAAAAAAAAAAAAAAAAAAAAAAAAAATATATATATATATATATATATATATATATATATATAAACAAAAAAATAAATGTATTTTCAAATCAGCTTTTTAGAATCTAGTTTGTTTAGTATGTCAATTCTTTGGTTAATTGATTTACAAGTGCCAAAAATCTTAGTGCTTTTGTAGGGTAATCAATAGAAGAAGCTGTGTTGATAATATTGTTGCTCAAAAAGGAATATGGATGAATTATATCATCAGGGTCTGTGAGTGTGTAAATAGTAATGCCTTTTTTCAGGTTGTTATTAATTAATTAAGTCATCCTCATTATTTTAGTAATAATATTTAGTAATGACTAAAACATTTTACGAGTAATTAAATAAATTAATTAAAACAGCATAATTTACTAAAACAAAAATAACATTACACTGAATTTAACCTTTTTTTATGTGCCACCCAAGATTTGGCTTAGCCTCATCTGGCCACCCCTAAGAAAATATTCTGGGGGTGCCACTGAAACCAGCATGGAAATGGCCAAAACCCCTCTAAAACCAGGCTGGTCCACCAACTAAAACCAGCCTACTCGTTTATAACGCTGTTTTAGAATGGGTGAGCGCTTCTGAATGGAACACAACGATAGTATTTCTAGAGTAGTCGATTTGTAGGTCAATTACCAAAAACAACCAGCGACTAAAAAGTGATTGAAGTCTCACGCCGCCCTGAAGGAAGACAACTTCCTTCAACAGTTGATGAATGATTAATAATTAACAGCCACATGGTGTCGCTGCTCCCCCGCCTCACATCCATCCGCAGCCGCAGTTTCCTCACACCTGATGCGGCGGACACCTGATGTGTGGCTAAAGCCAGGAATGGACAGGAGAAGAGCGCAGGTGTGTTGGCTTTTAAAATAAACCCTGAAACGCGCATAACACTACAGTCTGGGTTTAGCTGTTGTCTGCTTTGTCTTTGTACTGTCTAGATCTCTTTGAAAGCTGGACGGTATAGCAGGCTGTAATCATGAGGACTTTTGTGGTGGGTGATGATAACATGCTGCTGTTGAGCGTCTCAGAATCGCATCTTTGTTAACATTACAAAAGAAGTCCTGCTGTAATTGTACTCTTGTCTTATTGAGTTGGGGGTTGATTTAACTGTCAGAAAAGAGAACACTGAGAGTCGCATCACAAAACAAATATAATTAGCTGAATTATAAGTTAACAACAATAATCCATTTAATTGTATTAATGACATATTTTATTAATGATTTTTTTGTTTGCAATATAGAATCCACTTTAAAGGAGGCTAAACTTTATTGTTAATTTTAGAATATAATGAGTGCATGCATTGAAAAACAATCTGTGAGTCATTCTTCAAAATTAGCCATGTTACAAAAGCATTAATAATGGAAGAATAGACAAAAGAAGATTTTTAGAGCACAAGGACTGGTTCTGGTACACTAGGAAACATTGTAGCTTCACTTGGATAAATAATGCAAGTATTTATGTTAACAGTATCAAAGTGCCACAATGTAATTATGTTTTTTTATGACGAGGAACATCATCTGCTAATTAATTGAATTGAAATGATTTCTTTTATTTAACTAGGATGCACTGACTTCTCTGACTTGATAAAAAATGACAGTAAAAGTTTCACACGAGTGCTTAAAATATACTTATACTTCATACAAAGGAATGCTGTTCTTTTGCTGTCCTTTTTCAAAACCAATTATCATCTTTCATAATCACAACTGTTTTCAACACTCATAAAAAATTGTTTCTTCTGCAACAAATCAGAGATTATGTGACTGAAAATGCAGCAATAATGCAGAAAATTCAAGTTTGCTATCACAGGAATTAACAAAACTTTAAAATAAATAAAATAAAAAACAACATTTAAAATAAATTTGACAATATTACTATTCATACAGAATTTTTGGTCAAATAAAGGTATATAATTGTGTAAGTTACTTGACAAAAGTAATTTATTCCTAAGCACATCATATAAATTGTATATAAATAATGAAAGTAAAAAATTACTTTGTCTGAAAACTAATTTAATTAGTTCACACAATACATACAATCCCTTGAAATTAAACTATTAATTGTTTTCAATTTAAGTCAAAACAGAGCCTTTAACTTAATTAAGAAGTGTAATACGTAATGGTAAACGTTACATCAGAACATAACATGTTTGAAAGTAATGACACCATATTCCATACAGCAGCACATATCATATCTTCATTAAAATCTTAATCAGTTCATTGATTCATGTTTAGATGTCTTAATAAATGTAACATTTTAGTTGAAAAATAGAATTAATATGTAAAATATACTTGTATAAAAAACACAATAACTCCACTTCTCTGAACTGTTAAAATATTTAGTTTTTTCCATACAAATATATCAAAAGTAACTTTAAACACCTAAAAATGAGAAGGATTCTAAAATTTTAGTGGTTAATATTACAAAATATACTAAATACTCTGTGAAAAATATCCATAAATTAGCAGTTCTGTATTTTGTGATTCATATTAATTTTTTTTCTCCCTGTATATTTATGCTTTTAAATTGCATTAAGGGACTTTTAACCTTAAAAAGTTAAATCCTATTAACTTACTACTAAAGTTAATAGGATACTACTAAAAGTAATCAAAAGTAATCCCTTTTCAGCAAAGTAATATACATTAACCGGCCACTTCATTAGGTACACCTGTCCAGCTGCATGTTAACGCAAATTTCTAATCAGCCAATCACATGGCAGCAACTCAATGTATTTAGGCATGTAGCCATGGTCAAGATGATCGGCTGCAGATAAAACCGAGCATCAGAATGGGAAAGAAAAGTGATTTAGGTGACTTTG